AGGGTAATACTTACATTTAACCCTTGATACTGGGAAACATTTAACTCTTGTAAATTCATACACCGACCTAAAAAAACAAAGAAACCGTATCATTTTAAACCAGTCTCCAACTGGCAAGGCCTGAGAAATAACAATATAAATTTTTGGTTCCTGAAAGTATGAGTCATCAAATTTGACCCAAGAAAAGGTTTATGTTACATTATTTAGAGGAGGATCTATTTTAGGCATGAACAGTAGAAGCTATTTAGCATTAGTTATTTAAGGGCACTTACTATAAATTGGATCCAGGTTTAGCTTGGCTTAGCAAAGAGCAGCTAAACCCTTTGCTATGCATTTTTTTTATCCCGTATGCATACGTACTCGCTTAATTAAATCAGTTGGAAAGAAGAAACGCCTGACACCATCGGCCCCTGCACACACAGGCCAGCGAGCACATGGGTGCTGGGATGCATCCGACCATGTGGGACCTCGGCGAGTTAGTGGGCGGCTGGTTGAAGAGGGATGGTTGCCATCTCCGGGGCATGGCACGCGTGCCCACAGAGAGGGCTCTGAGTGCCGCCTCTGGCACGCGTGCCATAGGTTCGCCACCACTGCCCTATATCATTTCAGACAAATGGATGTCCAGTCTCTTCTCTTGGAGCATTCACAGCTTCTGGAGGCAGGTTGTTCCACTGGCTAATTGTTCTAACTGTCAGGAAGTTTCTAGGTTGCTTCTCTCCTTTATAATTGTTCTCACTGTCTTGGTTCCAGTTTGGATGTGTCTTTGATGAGCTTCTACCTGCTACTTCTTCTCTGGCCTTCAAGCGCTTTGGAGAATAAGTCAGCCCCCTCTTCTCTAGGACAGCCCCTCAAGTCCTGGAAGACTGCCGTCATGTCACCCTTCGTCCTTCTTGTTGTTAGGCTAGGCATACCTAGCTCCCTCAGCCGTTCGTCCTACCATTTAGCCTCCAGACCCCCGATCATCTTCCTTGCTCTTCTCTGCACGCTTTCTAAGCATCCGTTTTGTTTACAATGGTGGCGAATATCTGTAGGATGAGGGTGAAGGCTTTGTCCTCCGAGCTTGTGAGTCGGTTTCCGAATGTTTCGTTACCAGGCTGGGTGACATCGTCAGCGGAGTTTAGGGTGGTGAAGATGTTACCCAGCCTGGTAACGAAACGTTGGGGAACCAACCCACAAGCTCGGAGGACGAATCTTCACCCTCGTCTGTTTTGTGTCGTCGAGACCCCAAATTCCTCCTTAAAATCACCGTCCTGTGTCCGTTACGCTGGAAAGAATAGCTTATCTTATACCAGTGGTGGCGAACCTATGGCACGCGTGTCAGAGGCGGCACTCAGAGCCCTCTCTGTGGGCACGCACGCCGTTGCCCCAGCAGAGTTCGCCACAGTAGCGAGCACGTGGCGTTTGGAAGCGACAGGGCAGGAAGTGAGCAAGCAAGCGGCGTTGGCCCCCCGGGGATGCCTCGGAGATGGCGAGGGACTGGCCCCAGCCACGCTCACCTAGTCTGCCATGACCACTGCAGCCACACTGACCCAGTGGGCCACGCACACCCGCCCCCCCCGAGGGCACCACAATGCTGATGCAGCCCTGGCACTTTGCGATAAATAAATGGGTTTTGGGTTGCAGTTTGGGCACTCGGTCTCTAAAAGGTTTGCCATCACGGTCTTATCACGGTTTCCATTCTTTCTGTCAACCGTCACCTCAACATCTTTATAATACTCTGCATTTTTGTTCCCCTCCCCGAACAGGGAAATTTCACACACCCCAGTTTGTGCCTCCGTCATACGGACTCTCAGCAGTCAGATTTCAAAGGAACACCCTTGCACGGTTCCAGCTGTCGCATAAAGCAGTGGGGGCCAGCTGGATGTCAGGATGCAAATGGTTACTATTATCATACTACTTTTCTTTAGTCAAGCGGCTGATCTGAGGAAAGGGCGAAATGGAAACTCCAGGAGGAAAGCAAACAACGGAAGGGGAAACGGTTTAGGGAAAGGATCCGGCCTTGCGAAGCGCTTCACGCCGAATCCTCCCTGCGACGTCTACACGTATCTCTTTGAGAAGTACTTAGATTGTCAAGACAGAAAACTGACATTTGTCCCGCCCGAAGGGCCGGAAGACTTAAAGCACATGCTGCTATCCCAAAACGCAATCCGTAAGCTGAAGAACAACATGTTCTCCCGATTCCAAAAACTGAAAAGTCTCGATTTGCAACAAAACCAGATCTCCAAAATCGAGGATCAGGCTTTCTGGGGCCTGAACAAACTGACCACCCTTTTGTTACAGCACAACAAGCTGAAGGTTTTGTCGGAGGAGGTGTTCATCTACATGCCTTTCCTGAGTTACTTGCGCCTGTACGACAACCCCTGGCACTGCAGCTGTCAGTTGGAGTCGCTCGTAACGATGCTGCAGCTTCCAAGGAACCGGAACTTGGCGAATTACGCCAAATGTGCACAGCCGGAAGAGGCGAAGGGTCGAAAGCTCAAGGACCTACAAGCCGAACAGTTCTGCGGCGACAAAGCCGACTTACCGCCGGCGCCGAAACCTGAAATTGCCAGACCTGAATTTGACTCTTCGCTTTGTCACACCTACGTGTTTCCCGTAAAAACACTGGATTGCAGGAGGAAAGGTTTGTATATGTCGGGGTAGACAACTTTGGCTCTTTTATGACTCATGGACTTCAACTCCCAGAATTCCTGAGCCAGCCATGCTGAGGGGAAAGGGAGAGGTTTCCAAGCTGAGCCAGGCTGGCTCAGGAATTCTGGGAGTTGAAGTCCACGAGTCAGAAAGCGGCCTAGGCTTAGGCCAGAGGTAGGCAACCCTGGCTCTTTTATGACTCGTGGACTTCAACTCCCAGAACTCAGACTTTCAGTGGTCAATGCTTTGGAAAAAGGGACTTATGGATGTTTTTCCCGCTTACGACGGTTGCAGCATCTCCAGGTGATCAAAATTTGCAACCGACTCGTATTTATGACATATTTATTTCCTAACATATCCTGCAGCCAAAGAGATGTTAGTTTCTGATCTTAGCTAGGTAGTCCTCAACATACAACCGTAACTGAACCCAAATTTTTCGTGGCTACGCGAGACCGTTGTTAAGCGAGTTTTGTCCCATTTTACGACTTTTCCTGCCACCGTTAAGTGAATCGCTGCAGCTGATAAGTCAGTCACACCGTTGTTAACTGAATCTTGCTTCCCTATGACGTTCCTTCTCAGAAGTTCACAAAAGGGGATCACATCAGCCTGGGACACCATAACCGTCATAAATATGAGTCGGTTGCGAAGTGGCTCAATTTTGACCCCGTGAGCGTGGAGGTACTACAACGGTCGTAAGTGTGAAAAACATTCGCAAGTCCCTTTTTCCCCGTGCTGTTGTAACTTCAAACGGTCACTAAACGTATTGTTGTAAGTCAAGGATTACCTGTGATTGGGTATCACTTTTGAAAAGTAAAAAGACCCAACGGTGCCATTGAAAACTTTGGAAATAGTATGGAAAACTTTTGCTAATAGAATGCAGAATATAGAATATTCTTCGTGGGCCAAGTGGGATTGGACACAGAAGGAATTTTTCCCTGGTGCAGAAGCTCTCAGCCTAGATGCAAAGCAANAGTCAAGGATTACCTGTGATTGGGTATCACTTTTGAAAAGTAAAAAGACCCAACGGTGCCATTGAAAACTTTGGAAATAGTATGGAAAACTTTTGCTAATAGAATGCAGAATATAGAATATTCTTCGTGGGCCAAGTGGGATTGGACACAGAAGGAATTTTTCCCTGGTGCAGAAGCTCTCAGCCTAGATGCAAAGCAACGGAGTAGTAAAATCACAAGATACCAGTGCAGGAGTAGGCAACCTTGGCTCTTTTGTGACTCGTGGACTTCAACTCCCAGAATTCCTGAGCCAGCAGTGTCATCAAAATGGCCGACTGAGGAATTCTGGGAGTTGAAGTCCACGAGTCATAAAAGAGCCAAAGTTGTCTACCCCTGCAATAGGGGAAGGTAATGGGAAAGATGAGAAGGGTAAAAGTAATACAGCGCTACTACATGAGTAAATATCCTTAGGCCTAAGATAGTGCTGTGGGGATTAGGTGTTCATCCGACTGATAGCAAGAGGGGGGGAAAAAAACCCTAGATGCAGAACACGGAACATCAAGTTTATAATATAAATATCTCCCTGTAATTGTGTATTTTTTTTTCCTCTCAAGATTTAAAAAAAGTCCCAAGCAATATATCTCCAGACACAGTTAAGCTTGATATTTCCAGTAACAAAATCACTTTACTACGACCCAAGGAGTTTGAAGAAATAGATGACCTGAGGGTGTTAAATCTCAGTAGCAACGGACTAATTCACATAGACCCAGGTAAGCAAACTTCATGAAGATCAGAACAATAAATATTTAAACCCACAATTGCATTTCGTCTGCAATTTTATGATGCAACGTTTCTTCGTGAAATGCTTTTTTTTAATAAAAAAAATACACTTGATAGTTTGCTTATTGGTTAGGATCCAAACAACGTAGACAAGGTTTGGAACAAGTCATTAAAATTAACTCTTTAGGTCAGTGTTTTTTTTCCAACTGGGCTACTGAAACGGGTGGACTTCAAATCCCAGAATTCCTCAGTGAGGGAATGAAGTGTAGTCCCTGCATCTTAAAGCTGCTTTAGGCAGAGATGTAAACGTAAACACGTTTATATATTTATAAATATATTTATATTTATAAATATAATTTGGGTCATATTCCCTATCAGACGGTATCCCAGGGGTCTTCAGACTTGGCCCTTTTATGACTATGTGGACTTCAACTCCCAGAATTCCTCAGACAGGCACGCTGGCTGAGGAATTCTGGGAGTTGAAGTCCATAAGTCAAGGGGTCTTCAAACTTGGCCCTTTTATGACTTGTGGACTTCAACTCCCAGAATTCCTCACCCAGACACGCTGTCTGAGGAATTCTGGGAGTTGAAGTCCACAAGTCAAGGGGTCTTCAAACTTGGCCCTTTTATGACTATGTGGACTTCAACTCCCAGAATTCCTCAGACAGGCACGCTGGCTGAGGAATTCTGGGAGTTGAAGTCCACAAGTCAAGGGGTCTTCAAACTTGGCCCTTTTATGACTATGTGGACTTCAACTCCCAGAATTCCTCAGCCAGGCACGCTGGCTGAGGAATTCTGGGAGTTGAAGTCCACAAGTCATGAAAGGGCCAAGTTTGAAGACCCCCTACTGTATTCGGTGTTCTTTCCGATTCGCACAACTTTGTGCTACGTGGAAGACTTACTTTTCAAAAGAAGGAGATAAGAAATGTTAGATTCGCTCCAAAAGAATTCTTTAGCTCCTTTCAGTCACTACAAGCTGGGGGGAATTAATAAGAGGGATACCTGTACTGTGTTCTCCATCCAGTTAGCGTAAAGAACAACTATAATTACATCCAGACACTAAGTAACCACCACGCTAATATCTTTCAAATTAGCATCAGAAAGAATAAAGAAGAGAGATGATGGCTTGAGAAAAGAAAGAAAAATATATTTTAATACAGTTTACATCAGGCCCAGGCCCTCTTATCTCCCTTTTTATTCTGGCAAACTATCCTTATACAGATAGTCCTCAACTGAACCCAAATTTTTCAGCTAAATTTGGTTTGTAGCCATTCTTAGACAACATGGAGGTCAATGAGAAACATATAATTCTGGATTGTGCTTGAGTATCTTATGAGGGGTTTTATTCATAGCTCTTTCACCGAAATCTTATAGTGACTGTCATTTGCTGTGGCTTGTAAATCCTAGATTGCTGATTAACCCACAGGTATTTAGGTTTGTGTCATCCAAAACAATGTTTAAAATTCACGGTGACTGGATGCACACAACATCCTAAGTCAAGTCTGAGAAAATACAGCACAATGCAAACGATAAAATAGTTTTACAAACTTACACCCACCCAGATTCTCTCTATGCCTCTGTCAGTCGCTTCATTTCTGCTTCCTTCGCCAAAATCAAAATATGAACCACCCATGTCTCATTCTAAAGAGACGTAAGGCGTAAACACTGCCCGGTTTTTAATTCGAGCAAAGGGAGAAATTAAACAGTTATGATTTGTATTTTGGTTTATTACAGCAAAACGCCGACTATCCGAATAGGTCCCCAATAAATTTCCACCAGCGTACGAGCACTACAAACATTGCTAAACAGAGACATCGTTCATTTGTCATGTCTAAATGTTATTATTTTTAATCTGATTTGGTTTTTTTTTAATTTTTTCGAATAGCTGCTTTTGCAGGACTCGTCAATCTATCCGAATAGGCCCCCAATTAATGTCCACCAGCGTACGAGTATTACAAACATTTCTAAACAGAGATGTCATTTATTTGTCGTCACTAAATGTTATTCTTTTTATTTGATTTGATTTTTTTTTTATTTGATTTTTTTTTTGAATAGCTGCTTTTGCAGGGCTCATCAATCTGGAAGAACTAGACCTATCAAGCAATTCTCTGCAAAATATTGAATATGGCGTCTTGGAACATTTGTACTTTTTGAAAATACTGCGGCTTAAAGAAAACCCTTGGCGATGCGACTACAACATCCATTATCTTTTCTACTGGCTGAAGCACCATTACAACGTTCACTATAATGGCTTAGAATGCCAAAAACCTGGAGAATATAAAGGATGGTCTGTTAGGAAGTACGTCAGGAGCTATTTTGAAGAGTGCCCCAAAGACAGGCTACCTATTTATCCAGATGTGTTTGAGGATAATGAAATAGAAGAAACCGCTCTAAAACACTCAGTAATTGTCAGAGTAATCGATTGATTTGTCCACCGGCATATCCAAACTTTTTGTATTTTTTTTTTATAAGAAGAAGGATCGTTTATATATATATTTTGATACTGTAATTGTGGCGTTTGTTCGTGATGGACTATCTCCTGAAATATTGTTCAGCACGAAGCGCGCGAGACGGCATTAATTGCGTTGTTCTTTATAAATGTACTGTTTTTAATTGGTTTTGCGGAGTCGTTTTTGCACGTTTGGCCGCCGTCTGTGAAAAGGAAGGTGTCAGGTTCCGAAACAAATAACTTTTCAGAAAACTTTTAGGCATAATTACCTTAAAGAATCCTTTAATGAGTTACATAATCCGGCACGAACGAAGTAAAGCCAAAAACTGAAACACCCCCCCATCCTAGCTCTCGCGACAAGCACAACCCCCCCTCCT